CGCTGGATCTAATTAATACTGCCGACTAATTTGTTTCGCATTAAGAAACAAGCAGGTTGACGGCAACGACCTGTCAAAGTGTTTTTCTGCGGCAACATCAAACGAAGAGGGCAGAGGTCATGCATGCATAATTTCGCTCGGTGCTTCCACAATACTGTCTTACTAATTGATGGCTTATCACATAATTACGGACTAAATCCTCAAATAGTCGCGAAACACTGAGTGCTTTAGTTACCTTGTAAATTTATGCAACGAATGTTAAAAAATGCACAAGTCAAATTATTATTACTATTAACATTGTTATTATTATTGTTATTCAGGGAATCCAAACATCGATATCATTTTACAGCAGATATTTCAAGCACGAGACTGCCTGAATTTTTAAATGTTTCATGTTTTGTAAAACAATCATACTGTTTATGCAGTATGGGCGTGTAGGAGCAATTCATGACTTGTTTTACTGAATGAACAATATGCCTTCAGCAATACTCTGCCGCGCTTGGGGATCAATGTGCATCACGTATTGTATTGTATAAACAATTCGCATAATTTGGCATTTTTATTGGAAAAATCAATTTATGTGAGTAACACAGTCGCTTACTTTATGAGCAATAGAGACACTTAACAAACTTGGATTTCCCTTCGCATCACCAAAACAAATTTTTTGAACAATCCATACTTTTAGAAAAAATGCATGGAAATGACACAATTTTTTTGTAACGGATCACAGCAAAAAATGGCTGTTTGCAAAAACAGTAGGGAGAAGATAAAGAAAACCATTAATGCGCTTCCTCATCATTCAGAACTCTCTTAATGACCTCCCACCCTGAACTCCTTTTTCGATTTTTTTTTACAAATAAAAAAGGAGGGAGATCGCTTTGGATCCAGAATACATCAAAGAGCGAAGCCGCTGAAACACGCCGGTGTATATCCGAATTGGCATAAAGCGATTCACAATTTTACTGAGCCAAAAATCCTGCTTTCCTTTTTCCTGTTGGAACATTGGAAAAAGCAATTATCGACATGCAGAATGCATCTTATCAACTTCTAATATTTTTTACTGGGTATCAGGACCGGTTTCACTCGATCCCGAGGGTTCCAGAGAAAAAAAATCACACATTCTGGACGAGTAAACTAAAAATGTGTAACAGTTTCGTTTGAACTAATTGTAAGCATAAAACGAGTGAAGCCAGTTTAGTTCTGAACAGAATGACACAAGAGACAACAAAAGCTAGGAGTTGTTATTTACAAACGCAGAGACGGAGGCTAAGCTTTTCGCGGCTTCTTGAGCAGTTCCGCCAAGCAGTCAATGTACTGTTGAGCCATTTGCAAAGTTTCAAATTTCGACAGCCTTCTTCCAGTGCCCACCGATGGTAACACCGTTCGTAACTGAAACGGAATGAAATATTAGCAGTGCTGACAAATCCACAAAGTCACTTACCTGGATTATCCCGCTGAGCAGCGCCGAACATCGTACTTAACCCTATGTGAAGAAAACTCGATCTAACATTTGCCTACCTAATTTTCAATCACTTGCTTCTGAAATGTGGCATTTTCTTGCGGTTGTAATATCAGCCACTGAAATTTAGCCTAACTGCCGCACTTTCATTTCATTCACTGTAAATTCAATGCACTTCCGAGCATCTTTATCTCATAAGAGAAATAATAAATAGTGGTGCGCACCACAGCAGCCGGAGCGACCATGCGTTTTGCGCAATTCCGTTTACTGAACGATTGCCTGCTAATGATTTTCACTGCTTTGCACTTTGGTCTGTGCAAAAATAATTGAAATGT